AGGAACAGTCATTGCTATTTTCCAGATCAAATCCTTTCCCACAAGACACAAGTCCCTGGACAGTTTCCAAGTGCTGCTTTGGAAGGGCTTTTCCAAAGACTAACTTCAAACACAAAAAATGAGTTTCTGTAGGACCCTGCTGTTCTCTGTGTAGAAGAGCAAGACTCTTTAAAGGGATGTTGGTGTTTGAGTGAAGTTTAGTTTTTTCAGGATTTTCATCCTGGAACCAAAGCGGAGACTTTGTGAATGTCCTACATGTGAAGTTCTCTGGCGTGAATACCATTTGTTTCATTGCAATTGTTTTATCTTACCTTCTTTTCCTTTCAGGAAATATATTAAATTCTTTTGTATGATCTGCCCCTTGTCTCTGCCCCTCTCTCACTGTTTTTGCCAACATAGTTTTTTCATCACACTTCTCTGAGGTACTGAAATTCCTGCCAGGTGGGAACTTAGGTGGCACAAAGCAGCTGTTTCCTTTCTTATGTTCCATGTCTGGGACCACCTAATGAACCCAAAGTCAGAGGTGGTGAACTGTCAAGTGACTTCCTTGAGCCTTTTCTGTCTGATACAAGGTTTGGAAGGATAGTAATGTTTGCTCAACAATCCATACGTGATACAGGGTTTTTTTGCATATTCCCTGTTATACCTGTAATAATCTGTAGTTGTTAAGTGTATTAAGTTGGTTGGCCTATTTTTAAATACTGTTTCCTGTAAAGAAGAGTGAAAGCATAAATGAAGATCCCATACCTCTATTCCCTGTAATTATGAGATCTGCTGGCTAAAATACCTCGTGTGAAAGTGATAACTGTGGTTTCATTGCACTACCTTTAAAAACCAAATAGATTTGAAAATAGTTTACACCTTAGACAATTATGCTTTGAATGCTTTGAATGTAGTTTGTGGTGGGAGAAGCACAAAATCATGGCAGTTCATGAAGAGGAAAGAATCACTTCAAGTGTTGACATACCTTAATGTTCACTTGTATGATGACTTGTTTTAAAGAAATGACAATTAAAACTGGTTAATGATTCACGCTATTTTCTAGACAGAGGTTTTTTTAAATGCATAGCATATTCATACTGAAAAGTTTCTTTCTTCCTCTTGATTGCATTTTATAAAACATAATTGTCATCTCATGCATGATGAACCAATATGTTACTTTTATTTTCTCTACATACGTTTGAGGTTAGAACTTGTAATATTTAAGGTGCCATTGATCACATCTTCATGTAGCACCAGGTTTTGACTGTGGTGGCATTTATAGCATCTCAATGAGTGTCTGGGCTCCACTGTTTTAAGTACAGCATTACATAGATTTATAGATCAAGGGCAAGAAGGGGTCAATCATATAGATTGACTTCCTATATGTAATGACTTGATTAGCTTCTTTAGGTTTGTTTTTTATTCTGGTGACTGTAGCTAAAGCAAATATTCAACAAAATCATCCGGTTTTGAGGCTGCACTGGCAAAAGATAGTTTCCAGTTCTTTCTAGATTGTCATCTTCACAAGGTGCACAAGGGTTGTTCTGTGTGTAAAAAAAGGGTTAGTAAAAGTGCAGTGCCCGCTCTGCAGAACCTTGGACTTATGTATATAGAACAAACAAAATGAGGTCAAAAGAAAGTCCTGTCTTACAGGGAAAATGAACTTAGAGGGAAAGCCCACAGGGTCACACAGGAGCATCTAAAAGAGGCTGAAAATGCATCTGTGTTCTTTACGACACATGCTATGCTTTTAAGTGGAAAATGGTCCTTAACTCTCTTACACAAAAAGAAAGCTGGAAATAAGGTGTGTTAGGCTTCTCTTACCTATCAGCAACGAGCTACCAGGTGGTAGACAGTGGTTTACAGTCTAACTAAGTATTTGTACATATCATTTGAGAGCCTGAAATTTCTAAGAATCACTTTTACTATGCAGTACAATGGAAAAATGATATTTGAAAGGCTGAATGAGTGTTAAAAAAAATTAATCAAAGTCATACTGTTCCTAGAAGTGGTGTGGTCAAGCTGGTGAAACTCATGATCATTTGTATGCACAGGAAGCTCTCCAAAATATGTTATACTTCAGTTCTTTTTGTCCCACTGTTGCTTTTTTGCATGATAAGTCACTACAGAATAAGTTGTACTGTTAGCTGGAGCACAGGAGCGCTCACTGCCCAGGGGCAAAAGGAATTCTATTGTGCTCTCGCTGATGGAGGGAAACCTGAAATTAATGTGTCCTTAAGCTGTGTAATTCTGAGGTTATAGCCAGTACTCAGTGCTGACCTTTTAGAACTGCTCCTTTCAGATTTCACTGAAGAAGAATTTCAGCACAAAGTTGGACTTGGCATATCAATGGCAAAATGTAAAACAACTGCTTAAATACTGTTTCTCTTCAGTGTTTTGTAGGCAGGGTAGACAGTTTGGAAATGTGTACCCTTCAACAACAGCATAAGCTTAGCTTTATGAACTTAAACCCTGCACTTTGGTCAGCAGTCACTTGGAGAGAATGTTTTATTTCTGCTAGGGAACTATTAATATTGGTGAGAGAGAAGTGATGAATGAAACTTTGCCAACTCTGTAGTTGCAGAGCAGGCAGAGGAGGGTGGCGAGCAGACCCCGCTTTTGCATTTCCCTGCTGTCCTCAGTCTTTTCCACAGGTGATGCTGGTATCCAGCCTGTACATCCCCTGAGATGTTTGACTTCTGAGTGGGGGGTGGTTGTTGTGCATCTTGGTTTTAGTAATTTGCTATTTGGAAGTTGGCTATTATATGATGGTAGTGAGGATTTTTATCCTACTCCAGATTCAATCAAGTGACCTGAAGGTTAAAGTGTCTCTCTTCAATATCTAAAGTATTACTGCTTCCAGTAGACAGTCAATAGAAACAAATATCTTGCTTCTTTTTAATGCAATGGTTACATGGCCCACATTAGAGGCAGACATGGAGATTTTCCAGTGGAAAAAGAAACTAGAAGCAGCATTCATGTCATTATTATCTATAGTATATTTGTAGTTGTGTACTCAAAAAATCTTAATCAGCTACAGGTGGTCTTGTTAGCTTAAAAGGAAGACAAGTACAGCTTTTGAACTTTTTTTCCATATCTCCTGTTTTCTAGATCATAGAATTTCATAGGCTGGTTTATTTGCATCCATGTTGATTAAGTAACATGGAAGTACTGCTATATTAATAGTAATTTCAATTTACATTATGTTAAAACATCTTTCTTGGTAGCAAGCATTGCAAGAACATGGATCTGGAGAGGACAGTGGAAAGTATGTGGATGCATGTCTGTGCATATAAGTTGTTTTAGGGGAAAGAAGCCAATTAGTTTTACAAGAAGGCTAATTAAAAATTCTTTGTGAAGAAGCTCTTTATCTTTTCTCTCTGAAGTAATATATTACTTCTCTCTGAAGTAATAGTACAAAATTACATAATTGTCTTAATTTTGACCTGAGAAGGAATTATCTTTTGAAATGAAGGGGGGCTGTTCCTTTTCTTGGTTATAACTTACTGAAGTTTTAGTCTTGGAGTAATCACTTTAATGAGAAGAAATTTGAACCCTTGTAAAGCCCGGTCTGTAATAGTAGTGATGTTCTTCATTAGAGTTGACCTGGTGCATGATCATTTGGGTAGATGGCACTGTGCAGGAAACATACTTTAAATTTTTAATGTAGAAAAGGAATCTTTGATCTACTGTTACAGTTGATCTTCAAAATATATATATAAAAAAACCCCAAACCACAAGGTATAGTCACCCAGTATTTCTATAAAAAGTTGAAGTAAATTTGATTTCAGGGCACAGAATTCTTCTGGGCAAGACGGCAAAGAATAATTGATTGGAGAAGTTTGTATTGGAGACGCTTTGGGCTATGGGGGAAGAGTCCTGATTTAATGATAATTTCTTTTTATTTTTTCATGTTACGTGTTTTGTGACAACAAGTTTTTAAAAATGCTCTAGATTATGGGTGCTTGAATAGAATATTTTGCTTCTTTAATTGTATGTATGTGAACAGTTATCAGCAAATTAACACTGTCTATCCTCAAATACATGCAAATATAATGGAAAAAGTACATTGTGGTTTACTTTGATTTGCTTATGATTTAAGGAACCTTTCGTGTCTTGCTTCACACTTCATAACTGAAAGCTATGAAAGTCTGAAAGCTAAAACTATTTCTTTTCTTTCCAAGTAAAAGTCAAGTGTCTTATGGGTGAAAACAGGTGAGGTCTCAAATACAACTCCGCACTGTGTGATTTAAAAAAATGTTGTATATATTGGAGTGTATTAAAATGAAAACCAGAAGTGTATATGACTGGAGTTTCTAAACCTGCTGTTCTGCTCCTTTAGTTCTTTTGAACTAGCCATAGCATATTTTGATAGCTCAAGCAGCAAGTGGCAATCTTTAGAGCTTGGCAGAGTCATACTTCACAATAACAAAGAATTGAACTTCTGTGCTTTAGTGTGCCATTAAGCTGCAGTCTCACGTTTCAGTGCCTGGGAATTGATTTACTGATTTGATTTTCTGAGACATATGGTGATAATAATAATAACACTGTATAAGCATTATTTAAAAATACAATAATATACCAGTATTGAATCTTTGGCAAGCCAGTACCGAAGTGCGCACACAAACTACCACCATTTATTTTAGTTTAGTCTCATCCAGTTTTAAACAAATGAAAATCAATACTGCTTGTGGATATCTGTGGCTAAATTGGAGAGAGAAGTGAAGTGGCATTGTTGCCATTGTACAAGAAAACACAAATGCTTGAATTTTATGTATGTTCCTCTTTTGCCTTTCTTTTTCTGGATCTTTTAGTGCATTGTACAAAGATAGACTTTTTACAGTTATGACTGTGGTGTGTGTTCCCTATGTAAAATGCACGTGTTATTTGCAATTTTAATGTAGAAATAGGAAATGAATGCTTATGAAGTTCACTGCCTTTTTTGATGCTTATTGATGCATGGAATGATACGGACTTTAAACCCGTTAGAGTTAACAAATGCTGGTTTTGTCTTTCAGATATGTGTCACAAAGATGTCTACACGGAACTGCCAGGGAATGGATTCAGTGATCAAACCTCTGGATACAATTCCTGAGGATAAAAAAGTTCGAGTTCAGAGGACACAGAGTAGTTTTGATCCATTTGAGAAACCAACTAATCAAGTGAAGAGGGTTCATTCAGAGAACAACGCTTGCATTAACTTCAAAACTTCGTCTGCAGGGAAGGAATCACCTAAAGTCAGGCGTCACTCCAGCCCCAGCTCTGTAAGTGCACAGTCCTGATATCTCTGTGTGTACCAAATGGTGGAATTAAGGGCACCAGATAAATATTTTCTTGCTTAAAAAGGAATTGATTAGTTGGAAACAAAACAAAAAGGTCATGGCTGCTATCAAAGATGTTTTCTATATATATTTGTAGTGTCATTAATATGATAGAATCAGAAAATAGAACTTGAAAAAGAATAGATTATGAAATTCCTGTCAGATATTAATTAGGGTGTCTTATGGGATTTCTAAGCATTTTCCGCTCCTTATCCTGGTATTGCATTGCAGCTGCTATAATGTTTATGCTGCATATTTTGCAGAGGATTGCTTATTTGTGAAGAGGAATTCTTTCCCATGAAGTTTAGGAAACCACGTGAACTGCATTTTTGAATTTTAGATTTTGGTTTTAGAAAAACAGATCAGATTTTGTTTATATTTTAAAATTCTCTTTTTAAAATCAAGTAGTAAAAATAACATTTATTTCCATATCAGAGACTCTTGAGAGAGAGAGGAGAGAAAAAAACAACCGAAAAGAGTTTAGCAACACATCATAATTGTTTTATTCTCAAATATTTTGAAAGCAACTAGATAAATAAAATGTCATATCTTTCATGAATAATGCCCAGAACAGATTTCCCCCAAAAGACCTTCAAAATTATTGAAAAACTATTACTGTTATGCTTTGGCAAGAAAAATCCATAATAATGTGACCTTTGAGTTGAAGACTACAGATCTAAGCAGAATGGATGTACCACTTCAAATCTTATTTGGCGTGAAATAATTTAAAAGGTTGATTGACTCTTCTTTTTTCTTTTCTTTCTTTTCTTTGTTTTGGTCTATCTTCTGGACGTCTTCTGTCCACCCTACAGAAGTTTGACTGAATCCTGTCAGACTTCTAACAAGAAATGACAGAGGTTCATTTTCTGTAGATGAGCTGTGTTTAACCCATGTGAATTTAGCGGGTAAGATGTCATGCCTCCAGGGGACTGTCCTTTTTAGAAAAGGTTACATTTTAAAATGTAACCATCTGTAGCAAAAACAAATTTGCTTTTTCATCATCGCCTGGCATTTTATAGCTGCTGCCAAAGATATCTCTAGTGTATTTAATCTGAGCCCATGACAAGGAGTTCTTACCATAAACCTTTTAAAATCATTAAGGACGGATGAAGTGGTTTGCACCGTATTTACTTGTCTGTGATGCCTGATTATTGTTTGTCACCACAACTATCGATTTAAATGATGTGTTTTGGAAAGACTTAAGGTTTTTTTTGTTATTAACTCCTCATCTCTGCTGTTCCTCTTGGAAACTGTTGATAATTTTTGTTAATGCTTTATGCACTTCTTTTTCTGTTAAAATTGAAGGATTTCAGTTGCTTTTCTTCCAGAATTTTGAAGCAGATGTTTTTGAAACTGTGTTTTTAGCATCTTATTCTTTTCCAGAGGGCTGATACTCTACTGCATCCATACAATCTCCTAAGATCCTGTTATTTTCTTATGTAAATGATATTAATGCTTCCTCTACTGGTACGCTCTTGATTAGAGCCCTAGCTATACATAAGCTTTTGGTCATTTTTGTCTGTGCTGATTCACACAGACTTGCTGGATACAGGAGGTGCATAGGAATTTCTTGAAACACAATTCTCATTTCTTAGCTTCCTATAATTCTCCCGGATTTTTAGAGCTCTGTTCGGTGAACTCTGTTCTTCCTTCTGCTTGGAGGCATTGTTAGTAATTTTTGACTCTTTCTTACAAGGAGTGATCCAAAGAGTACCTGTCAAGGAGTAACCTGTGGAATAACGGGAGTGTTCATGCCAATGGAGAGGGAAGAACAGAATTTCACAGAAAAAGGTGGTGTTAGCCCTCTGCTGATCAGGTCACACCTGGTCCTACCCAGCAGACCTGAGTTCAGCCATCCAAGGCAGAGATATGATCAAGCTGCTCATTTCCTGAGCCTGAATACTTTGCCTTGGGCAGTAGATGTTCTGATGCACATTTCATTGAATGATACCTGTGTGATTAGCTGCAAAAATTTATCATTCTGTGGTTTTGAATTATACTTGAATTGACAAAAGGTTTGGGGTTTCCTTTTTTTTTCTAGCCATGATGTTATCTAGCAGATGTCCTTGCTACTTCCTCTTCTGTTCATTACTTCTTTTTATTCTATGTTAGAGAACTGCTACACATTCTCCCTTACTGAGTTCATACTTGATTCTCTGGAAGTTTTCCTCTTGTATAGGTTATACCAGTCCAAACGGGCACTTCAGTTTCTGTAAATGTTCTTGAGCATGCTATGCTCTCTGGGTCATTCTGGCTACAGTGGTGGAATTGTGTTTCAGTTTTGGCTCTACTTTCTTAAGCTTTATTTTATGATACTCTGATAGGTGTATGGTACCTTTAATTTACACTTTCCATGCTTGATTAGTAGAGGAACTGAATTAGAGATAGGCTTCAGTTTACTCTCTTCCCTTTCACATTTAAAGTCCTTTGTAACCATCAGATAGGGAAGTGATGTCTTACAGAAGGTGCATGGCTAAGGCTTGCAGTTTCCATATCACTACTTCTGCTCAGGTAAAAGTCCTTTGTCTCAGAAACAACATTTTTCAAGACGTTACCTGAAAGACCTTGTTTATAATGCCCTGGGGTGTTACTTCTGCTTTGATTAATTTCAGAAGTTTTATCACCTCTCTGGCAGGTATCAGCTTCAGTGTTTGGTGAAGATCACCAAATACTCCGCAGATGGCATGTTACCCATTTTGTGTTTTACGTAGCTTTGAAATACTCTGCACTTTGTGATGAGAAAGATGAAACACACACAGAGTTTTGGGGAAGCTGGAACTCTATGTTCCTGCCCACAGATTGTCTCTTGGAAAATAAATCTCTTGCTTTTGAACATGAAGTAATTTTCTTCAGTTAATGTCAGAACTCGCTGCAACCTGGTAGAAATCCTGTGTGGTTAATTAGTGCAGTAGCACTTTTTTTCGTTTGTTCTTATAAGACAAACTTAATATTCACACTTAAAAGCTTTCCACCTTCTCCCCTTGGTCTGAACATAAGAAAACATCTCTGAGAGTGATTTGCAAACTGCTTAAGCTGATTGAAATTGGATACTATTATGGAATGAATTTTCCAGCAGAACAGACTTACTCCTTTATCACATCAGTGGATAACTTGGAGATAGTGAAGTAGGTGTTTGCCTACCTGTGCATCACCTGTCAGCCACTGTTAGAAGGGAATTAGGCTTGGCAAATGTTTTCTCTGATCCATCCCAACACAATATGTCTGTGTGTATATACGTATATATATTATACACATGTAGCTATAGTTGACTGTACTTACCTGTCTGTCTCTGTCTATATCTTATCTTTCTAAAAATCTCTTGCTCAGTTTTTTTGCCTACAAAAGGAAGAAACTTGCTTTTATTTTCTTCTTAACTGAAGAAAAGGTAAAACTACGAAATAAACTGGACAAAATAAAAAAAGTACAACTGAGAAACAAATACATACAAGTCTTCCCAAAATTGCACTGGTTTTGACTGTAATTGTCTGAAAGTTTTATTTGAGATCCATGCTTTTTTTGCTCATGACCTTATTTATTTCTCTACAGTGCAAGGTGAAGTTTTCTTGCATTCAGAGTACACATTTTATACACTAAAATAGTCCTTTTGCACAGTATGTAAATAGAATATTGCAAGTTTTTTAAGCTAGCCATCTGGTCAAGACATAGTTGAGTAGTGATATGCATCAGTTTATTCTCTTTGAGTGGCTTAAGTTCCTTGGCAATGAATTCACATGTCATGCTGAGGTATATGTCCTACCTTTCAGTTAGTTTTTAAAAAATAAATGAAGCAAAACACTAACCTTCTGCTAACTCACATAAATGTAAAAAACCCATTCAAATAAAAATAATTGGATAAGCAATGCTTTACTGCATTGACTCTACTCTTTTTGGGAGAGTAGCCTCTTTTCTATTTCTGTAACTTGTATTAATTTTCAGTCCTGATATGTGCAACTTTCCTCCAAAAAGTACAACCAAAATGCATGAATTCTTTTATGATCCTGCTGATCCTATTAGCATGTTGTAAATCAGCTGTTGAAGAAATCTAACTTTAAAGCAGACACTAATGTCAGGATTTTATCCAAAAGTTAGGCATCATTTTTGTCTGCCTAAACACTTGCTGTGCCATTCTAGGAATTTTAGGAACCTGTTAATTAGTAGGGTAACTGCATCCCTCCTGGTTGATATATTTTATTGAGGTAGGATAATTTCAGAATTCAGTATAGAGAATGGATTTTTCTTTACTGGCACAAAGGAAGCGTTAATAATCGTTAACCTGAGGGATACTCTCTAGATGAGAAGGCAGATAAAATGTGGCAGTTGAGCCAGTTCCTGTGCTCTCATAGCCTGGAGAATAAGTGAACAGCTTTAAAAACTGAATCCAACCCTTTCACAGAAAGCTCTATGGTTGCTTCTGTGCAGGTTGCTCTTAATTTATGTCTGTGTGTTAAAGAGTTAGGAAGATGCAAGCAAGAGAATGCGACCATATAGTGGAAGAGTTGATATTAAGGCTTGGTTTGGATTCTTGAATATCTTTGTATTCCTTGAATATCGCCCTAGAAAACAGTCCAACTTTCAAGGTATGATCAAATTGAGCTGTTAATGGATGCAACCTGAAATTAGTGTGAAAATTGCATATGGTTTCGTGAAAGAAGGTTTACCATTGTGTCAAAGAAAAAAAAATAAAATTATTAAAAAATAATTATTATCTTTCATTCTTTTTGATTTCATCTTGGTTAAACCTCTTGGCCAACCTTTTATGTTCAAGTTTTTCCAGCAATGAATTTGTTCTTTTTGAGGTGTAAAACAAAATAGATACTCAGTTTTCATTTGCAATAATTCACAGAGGCAATGTGAACATAATATTTTCCCCTAAATGATAGTTTTATATTGAAGCTTAATATCCTGCAATTAAAAAAAAAAGGGTCTGTTGAAAACTTAGACTT